AATTCTCATTTGGGTTCATCCATGTCTTCAGATATAAGCTAAAAAAACAGTCTTTTATTAACCCATGAAAACCTGCAATTTCAATTCTTATGTTAGTTTTGTTAGTTCTGTTTATTGTTGCAACTGTGAGTCCTTCTAGAAGCTTCTGAAGCATTGGAGTTGGAACGTTGGGTGGGAGGAAGTGGGAGCTGTGATGGGTAGGGATAGGTTGTTATTAGCGACGGTTGGTCCGCCATTAAAACGGCGAGCTGGGTTGAGAAGGAACAAGCTGGAAGAGGGTCTTATAGAGGAAGCTAAAGCAAAGGTGGTGGTGTGGGAGTTGAAGGGTTTTTTTAGTTGCTGTTTTTGTTGTTGGTTTCTTTTTTTGGGGTGGTGGGGGAGGGAGTGATTAATAATAACAACCCTTTATTCAGAGGGTGCCAAAGTTTTGGTTTTTGTGGAAGAAGATGGGTACCAATTTACATCAACTACTAAGAAGTCTCTGTTTGGATACTGATTGGAAGTATGCTATCTTTTGGAAGCTACAACAACACTGTGCTAGGATGTACGGTTTGTGTTTCCATTTTCTTTTTTGTCTTTGTTTTGCAGCTTTTTTTGTGTTGTGTTCAAGTTATTTGTATTGTCCCTAGCTTTTCCTTGTTTATAGTGGTTTCTTGGTGATTTGATTAGAGTATATGTTATCTGATTTGGTTTTAAGGAAAATTAGTTTGTTCTACAAACATCTTGTTTGATGGATTATAATATTTCTGTTTAGTCAGTGTGCAATATATTACTATTAAGAGTTCTAAGTGGATGTTTGGTTTCACGTCTGTAGCACCTAGAATTGATTTTGGTTGCGTAGAATTGATTTTGATATGTTTGGTTGCTCTTGAATATAATTGATTATGCTTTTCAGAATTGATTCTACTTGAAGTTAGGATCTGTAGCTTTTGAGTCTAAACGTGATTTTTACATTAAAATTTATTGTTCAACTCACTTTTAGTCGGATCAATTTTACAGAATCAGTTTACTCAAAATCAATTTTCTTCACTGTACCGTAGAACCAAACACGTGCTAAGTTGGATAGGATATGACTTGAAAATAGGTTTATAAGTGAGAGACATTTCTCACCTTACAAGCTGGTTTTATAGGATTGAGTTAGGTTTGTTTCAAATTTTAAGATGATATCAGAGCCTATATGAGAACTGTTAGGTAACTCGCTGCAAGGCGACTTGGGTCACACTCAAAATATCTAGTTTTGAACATAAATTTGTCGGGGCTTGCATTTGTTAAGTTGTTAGGTTTTGGCATGTACTTAGACCGATGGGTTCAATTTCATATGTTTTCCCTTAAAAAAATTTCTTGGTGTGGCAATTGCCTGCAGGATCTTGACATGGGAGGATGCTTACTATGACAATCTTGATAATTGTGATTCTTCCCAAAGTATGTATTGCCAGAAGAACTTAGATCAGATCTGTGGCGGGAACTTTTCAAATGACCCTCTCGGATTATCTCTGGCAAAAATGTCGTGTCATGTATATTCCTTAGGGGAAGGGTATGAATAAACTAATGAACCTAGATGAAGTCTAAGACTAAATTTATCTTTTGTATAACTCAGCCTACTTTCATGTTTCTACAGTATTGTTGGACAAGTAGCTGTTAATGGAAATCATCAGTGGATCTTTGCAGATAATCAAGTTACATGTTCTGGCCCGTCTTTTAAGGTGAGAGTCCTTCTTCAATCACGCCACTTGCGTTTTCTCTATGCATAGTAAGATTTGAAGGTCGGTAATTGGTATTGGATATGTGTGAAGTATTATGTATATTTATTTACCTAATCTTTCAACTATTCTCATTCTGTTCCCTTTTCTTCTTTTAATTTTAGCTTGCTGAAGAATGGCAATCTCAGTTTTCTGCTGGAATTAGGGTAAGTTTATCGCTAACTTACAAAAAGCTCCCTCGGCAAAAACTACCAGACAGAAATTTTTATATTTAGCCCGATATTAGAATTGTCCGACATTATAAATGAGACTTTGCTTGTTATAATTTATCTCAGCTTTGATAAATGGATTGTTGATTAATGAAGAAGATAAAGTCTGATATATGGCTCTTGAATTGAATCTTGACTTCTGTCGTAATCTATGTTAGAAAATTCAAGCTTCCCTTGTAGAACATGATATATTTGCAATCAGATTTTTCATTAACAGAGCTTAGTTTCACATTGCAGACAATTGTTGTTGTAGCGGTAGTCCCACTTGGAGTTGTTACACTCGGCTCTTTAAATAAAGTATGATGACTATACTCTTCTCCTTGTCCCCTTTTTTTTGCCTAAATTTCATACTTTCTGTGTATGTGGCGAAATTTTACGTAGAAGTCCATCTGCTAGCAAACTTTTTACGATTCGCTCCTTTTTCTGTCATCACTGAATGCAGATTAGTGAAGACACGGGGTTTGTAACACGTATTAGAAGTCTCTTTTTGTCTACTCATGATCAAACATTAGGTTACCTTCCTAGTCGAATCCAAACTGTGAAACATGACACACAGAGAACCATGATGGGTGAAACATCGGATAGGTTAATGCCCTTCCAATGTCCTGGGAAGAACTACTCACCTCCTCCTACTGTTTATCAGAAAACGACTGTTGATGCCAGGCATGGAGGGCTTGAAATTTACAGTGATCAAAGTTCCGTTTTGCTTCAGTCAATGTCAAATATGATGACTGCAGAGAATCCGAAACTAGAAGGGGTGAAACCTTCAAACGAAAGGAAGTGCGAAGGGAACAATAATAGCTTCAAAGATACTAGTTTGAAATCAGACAAAAACGTCTCACCGGTTTTACACAATTCAGTTACGGATGATAATAGTATTAGTGCCAATGTTTTAGTAAGTCCATACCTTAGAGCTGATACTGAGATGTCAACATTTCAGACTGAGTCTTATTACGAGGATATCTCGTATGCGTCGAAATTTCCTGCTGGCTATGAGCTACATGAAGCACTTGGACCAGGTTTTCTTAAAGAGAGTAAATATTTTGACTGGGCGGTACAGGGAAATCAAGACAGTAAAGATGCTGAGATGTCGGATGAATTTAGCTGCAGCCAGTTGACTTCTGAATCTCGTCCGGAGCATCTTTTGGAAGCAGTGGTGACAAAAGTTTGCCATAGTAATAATGTTGATAACGAGTTATCATTTTCTACATCAGTTCACGATGCAATGGTCTCTGGAAGAAATCCCGAAGTTCCTATTCATAATGTCAGCACTATTAATTCAGAAGGCTATTCAATTGATCAACCATCTCATGTTAAAGAGAACAAGCATAATCATAGTTTGAGTTCATCAGGAATATGCGGTGTGATATCCCCCAAAAGCTTTTCTTCAGCATGTCCTAGTTCGTGTAGTAACCAGTTTGAGAGGTCTTCTGAACCATCTAAAATCAGCAAAAAGAGGGCTAGGCCCGGGGAGAGTTGTAGGCCTAGACCAAGGGACAGACAACTGATTCAAGACCGTATTAAGGAGTTACGAGAGCTGGTGCCAAATGGAGCAAAGGTATATCTTGTGCTAATATTTATTTTCTAATCCTGTCTCGGTAGATTTTGGTTTTGTAATGCTTGTCAACTTGTAGTTCTGATTCTCGTGGCTGAAAGTTTTATTTTAAACCATTAACAGTGCAGTATTGATTCACTTTTGGAGTGCACAATAAAGCATATGCTCTTTCTCCAAAGCGTAACCAAGCATGCTGATAAGCTACATAAATTCTCTGAAACAAAGACAAAGGTAAGGTCCGATTGGATTCAGATGGTTATATTTGCTTGTTCATAGTCTGTAAATAGGTACTGATAATTGAACTCGAAGATATGCCTGCTTACATGGATTTTGTTTGCTAAAAATAAACCGAATTCTTAACAACGCATGATCGAGAATGTCTTTCCAATAATAAGATGTTGGCATTTACTAAGAAACCGATTTTTTAATATTGCCTGCAATTGTGCAGTTGCATGATCACATGGAAAAAGACATTCATGGATCCTCTGGTTATCAACACGGTTCAAGTTGGGCAATGGAGGTAGGAGGTCATCTGAAGGTTCATTCAATATTAGTAGAAAATCTTAGCAAAAACGGGCAGATGCTTGTTGAGGTACGAATTTAAAATTGCAACCTGTATTCCGAGTTCTTATACACCGAGTACTTGTTCTTTATACTAATTTTGACTCATGCTGCAGATGCTTTGTGAGGAGTGCAGCCATTTTCTTGAGATAGCAGAAGCCATGAGAAGCTTAGGCCTGAAAATTTTGAACGGTGTAACTGAAGCTCGTGCTGAGAAGACATGCATATCTTTTGTGGTTGAGGTAGGATCAGACGATAGATTCATTTCTTATTCTTACTCGGTTAAACTAGCTTATCGCACCATTATTGTTTCCATAGTAATAACATAGAATTGATGGCACGAATCATCTATCGCAGGGACAAAACAACAGAAATCTACATAGATTGGATATCTTGTGGCCCCTTGTTCAATTATTGCAGTCAAAGAGCACAATGAGTGCATGAAAAATGTTTCATTCCTGAAAAGTTCCATACTGCTATCCCCTAGTAAAGAAGTCTTGGGAGAAGGAAACTTGTAGGGAGCTTAAAAAAAAGGGAAACCATCCTTAACATCTTGATACCAATTTCATGAAGAATATAAGTGTGTGAATTCTCCATTATTCTGTCTTTCTCATGTTCAAGTTGGATTGTATATGTTTTATTATATGTGTAAAGTGTTTGAAATTAAAAATACTTACTATTTTCCAACCATATTGTTTTGTGTTTACCAAGTGTTAAGTGAGTTAAAGACTATAATAAACTGTTTCAATGTTTTTAGCTTATGTAATGTACATTTTCTGAGATTATATCAGTATCTAAACTATGGAGAGTACTTTAAACATGAATAAATTATTTTGGTGTTAACAAAACATAAATTTCTTAGAATGAAACAAAACAGACTAAAAATATTACCAAGAATTATTTCAAAAACAAAGTTTATAACCTAAAATAAGGGAGGGTTTTATGTCCATCAAGCCCTTTGGATCTAAAGTGAGTGAGATATTCAGTAATATCAGTTTCTCTATATTTTGGCGGATTTTCATCGGATGTGAACTCCTCTATCGGTTGATATTTTTGACATGCGTCGGGGTACATGTGGCAAGCAGCCGATGCTCTTGGTCCAACACTTCCTGCAAGTACTCTATGCTCAACACTTTTGAACTTGTCATTGCTGATAAGCTACACAAGAAAATGACAGTTCAAAACAAAAATGAAAGATTTAAAGGAATCTGATGAAAATGTTAGTTACCTGCATGAAGTCACCTATGTTTGCCACAAGTCCTCCATGAATTGGAGTAATATCAATCCAATGATTTTGATGGAGAACTTGGAGTCCACCAATGGTGTCTTGGAGGAGAATTGTGAGGGATGATGGATCTGAATGTTTTGTAGTACCAAATGTCAATTCTGGTTGTGGACAAGGAGGGTAATAGTGACAAACCACTATTTCACTTTTCATGCATTCTATATTTGCAAGATAGTCCTTCTTTAACCCCAATGCCTCTGACAGCAATTCTGATAATATTTCCTTAAGTTTTAGAATATGTTCCATGTATTTGCTCACTGCTTCCCTGTTGCAAAAAGAAACTTGATTCTAATATGCACACAACAATAACAATCTACGAAACACGAACACCAGAAACATAACTACACTGATACCTTTTTTCAGAGGTGTCGGTGCTACCGAGATAACAATATAATAAAAAGCTTCTTACCTGCACACTAGAGGATATGCTTGTTGATCAAGAGGACCATCTTGAAAATCAAACAATATGGTATCCCTCCAATTAGCTGCTTTAGCAACAAGAAGATCACCGTTACAAAAGTATCTAACTTTCATCTTATGATCACGTGAGTACCACTCTTTCTTCACTTCCTTATCTTGCTCATGAAACTCTTTTATAACCTTTAACATGTCATCCATAACATGAACTGGAACACCATGATTCACCATTTGGAAGAAACCCCATGTTTCTGATGCTTTCTTAATCTCACTGATTATCTCTAACCTTCTACACTTTTCATGTCCTGTGAAATCTATCACAGGTACTTGAAATAAGCATGAAGAAGTTGCATCATAGTTTGGAAGAGTCTCTTGTGGATGGATCAAGAATCTTGGAAGGTTGATGATACCAGAGTCTATTAGTCCTTTCACTCCTGCTTTAGTTTCATCAAATTCTTGAACTTCTTTTGCTCTATCATAGCTATCTTCATCACATGAGAGCAACACTTCTTCTTTCATTATTGTAGACATAGTCTCTTGATTATTAGATAGTTAGTGAGAAAGGCTTTGCTTCAAAATTGAGACTTGGTGGCTATTAAATGGAGAATGGTACAAGATGCCAAACCTTGAACGTAGCAAAAAAAACAAATTAGAGGAAAACGTGACCCCAATATGCTTATATTATATTTATGAATACATATATCTATTGAGAAAAACAATTGAGTTGAAGTGTTGAAAAATAAAGGGTAGAAAAGTTACATATTGATTAGAAAAGTGAAAATTGAGCATTTTATAAGTTAAAGAATTTACACATCTATTATGTTATGTTTTTAGGTAAATATGTGTAGGGGTGGCAAAACGGGCTGTGGTTTGCCAGATCAGTCCGCACACCCGTCAAAAAATGGCGGGTTGGGTTGGGATTTTGGACCCGTCGCCCACCAAAGCGCGCCCCGCTAAAGACCACCACTCGCCAAAGTTCGTCCCGCCAAAATCCGCCGTAACTATTTATTCAGTTTGTCCCACCTTAAACCCGTCATTTTTTTAGTTAATTATAGTAATTTCAATTCTTGATGGTTTTATTTTATACATTTATTTAAGAATATATGAAATATTTTTTGAAGTAAAATTTGTTAACAAAATACTTTATAAAAATTATTTTAAAAAATAAGTGCAAAATCTAATTGAAATGTAAAAACAAGTTTATTAATCTATTAAAAAATGAAAATAAATAAATAAATAAAATAGACGGGCTTGCCACCCGCCAACCCACATCCTTGGTGGGGCGAGTTAGATTTTTATGCCCATTTCCACTTGGCGGACTTGTCTGCCCCGCCTTTTTTTTTGCGGGCTTAAGGCGGACGCCAATTTTTCCACCCTAAATATATGGCGTGTCTCTCACAATATGTGTTGCTCATAAAAAAAGACCCCAATGAAAAAATGTTCTCTCATGTTGACCTCTAAAAATTTGATGACCTAACAATATTGATAATGACTAAAGTGATAATAAACTCACACACCTCATTAAGAATTATGGTTTATTCTTAACTCATCCATACAAAACTAATTTGTAGAGTGATGATTGTCCCTTACTTATATGTGCAAATTATATATTGTTCGATGTGAGACTCTTAACACCCCCTCATATCTAGGACTGGACACCTGAAGTGTGAAAATAAATTGTCAATGACCAAATAACAAAAATCGAATAACAGATGACCAAATAGATCTTAAACCAGACTCTAATATCATATTAAGAATTATGGTTTAAGCCTAATCAATCCTACAAAATATGTACAACAACCAATTTCCATAAGGGTGCTCTCGAAGATGGTTTGCATGTTTAACTATAACAATCAAATACCCATTTGTCAAAGATTACACATGTTTCTGCGTAGCTAGGGCACCCCTTTTGGATCTATCTAATCCAAGGGACGCGAGTGGGGAACTCAGAGGTGTCCACCTCGATCTAAGCTTTTACCTCGGGGACAGGGATAGTTGCATCTAACTGGTCTCATGCGAAATAATTACAGGTGCAGTTCAAAATATAACCGCATTTAGCCAGTCTTATGTCTCATATTTACGAATTTAGAGTATAGTTGTGCCAAGTCGGATCAACATTTTGACATTATAAATGCAATTTAAAGCTCAGTCATATCAAGCCGAACCAACACATTATCAGCATGAGAACATTTCAATTATGGTTGCATCTAGTTGGGTCAACATCTTACCAATAAAACACGTACATCTTAACTCGACATACTCGTGAATAAAGCCACCAAACATGGACTCACGAAGAACTTAAGGCTATTTACACTTTATGCAAATATAATTTATTGCACTTTGTAGAAAAAAAATACTCTATAACTTGAAGGGATCAAAATCGAACTCTGACGCTCCTCGACTCTCAGTCAGCTAAAAAATTACAATTAAAAGGAGCAAGATATGAAATCAAAAATACAAGCATGCAATAAGGTAATGATATAATTAATATTGTTTACAAGTCGAGGCATAGAGCCCAGCAAAACCTTACAGGAATAAATGAAGAATAAAAATAAAGAAAGGGAAGCAATAAGGTTCTCAAACATTAGCATCATCTTCGATGTATTCTCCTGAAACGGCTTGGAAGGGATCCAGGCTGTCGGTAGTGATGGGAATGTTCAGACAAATTCTCGCGCCTACTCTAACATTTGAACCCGAACCCGATACACAAATTCCATAACCCGCTAAATGGACTCCTGAGATTTCCCTTGAGTATCAGCTAGGTCTTTCTCAAGACCTTTCAAACTTTAGCCCAATCATCATTATTCTACTAAAGAGATTTCCGAATCTACTTCGAAATCACGCCACGCCTGTGCCGCATCTTCAGAAGCTTTCTTCCAACATTTCTCTCCCTTAGAAAGAGAAGTCTTCAACTCCGCTATCTGGATAGCCAAAGCTGACGAAGAACCTTATTGCTGAACCTCATATTGCAAAGAGTCAACAAGCTCAGTCTTTTTCTGCAGCTAAACCAATTCATCATCAACCTTTGAATTCTCATACTCAAGGGCCTCACACTTCTCCTTCAGTTCATCACACTCCCTAGAAAGCTCGCTAGAACCTAACATATCATTCTAACCGGTATTTACCATCGAAATTAAAGATCTGGCCATGAACAAGGTGCGAGAAGCATTCGTAAAAGACCCTGTCTGTCAACCGCATATAAGTTCCAAACAAAAAATAGGTCCTCAGTGGCCACGAAAACAACAAATTCCTCTGGGGTGTTAGGTACCTGAGAGGGAAGAATGGTATGGAGCCAAAATAAAAGAGTAAAATCCTTTAACTCAGCATCCTCTAACAAAAAAACTCGTTTAGAGAGGTTGACAGTTGCGGTTTCCAGTTGGTCCACCTTTAGAGTTGTACCCACAATAGTAGTCACATTTGTCGCAGAGGCATTTATTATCATTGGTGCCTAAACCACACGTGAAAGAGTGGAAATAGCAGTTGAAGTCTACACCACTTGACCCGATAAGTCAATCGCAATATCCTGATCCTTGGTAAGCACGAGAAGTTTTTGCTATCGATTCATATTATCTGCAAGATACAAGTTCTACTTGTTAAAAAATAATGACGCATGAGGTTCCCCAGGTCCCCATCCTCACCAAAGAGTTCTTGTCTCTCTGTATGGTCGGGCGCATTAAGGATCACATACGTGTCAATTGGTTTCTTCTTTCAATGAGAAAGAGGCACTTCGTCAGGACCAAATCCTTCTTCATAGTCAAGTTCTTGATACTAAGCACACATACACTGTTTAATTTTACCTTCTCGAAAGAGAGATGACTTAACCAGGTGTGGTAAGAAGAAAGAGGCCAATGTAAGTGAAATCTAGACGATCACTTAAAAAAAAACCACTTTTACAAGAGCGAGCACATCCCACTGGGGCCGAAGATGAACAAAAAGTAAAGTGAGTCTTATGAGTAATAAGTTTCATCGGCATGAAGCGTTTGAAAAAATTACCTTGTTCATTTGTAAAAGAGTTGAACCAAGGAACCTGGGGGCGAAAGAAGATCAATCCCTGATCCTGGGCATCATCTTGAGAGGTGTGTGCCACGTAAAAAAAATCAAAAAAGAGTTCCAGAGAAGGTTTTCGAGATTTATGCTGGGCACAAAGTTGGAACACCTTCATTCTAGGATGAAGCTACAGGGGGTGGAACTCTCAAGAGATTCATCACGGCCACCTCGAAACTAGATAAGGGAAAACACGCCCCTAATCGAGTGAAGAAGCATTCATAAAAAGGAACTGAGTAGCCCTCCAAAGAACTGCATATCCTCTCATCCATATCTACTAGAAAAATTGACCAGTCAGATGGGTCACCGACCATAATATCAACATTGGTTATAGTTGTACAACATAGTTCAAAGTGGGAGGAGTCCCTAACACTTCATGGATCACCCAATAGTATTTGTTGGTGTTACTTGGCCCAACTAGTCGAAGCCCTTTTCAGGCCAATTCATAAGCTTTAAAGTGATCATTTGGTTTGATCTAAGATACAACATTGGATTTTCTCGGTCTTCCAAATGAATTGCAATTTTAGCATCACTAGGCTCACGACTAATCTTCCTTTGATAGAGCCGGACAAAGTCACCGACACATTACCTTCTTTGTCGTGCAACTTCTGTTTTTCCCTCAGTCATGATAGATGGAGGCGTTAATTTCTCAATACGATCCTCACCCCCATCGGTTTTCCCCAAAAATAGAACCTCTAAAGAATCACTGAGATAAGCTCTTTCAAAAAAGGAGTCCCCAAACACTCCTCCCATTTCAGAGTCATCAATCAGTGAGATGATTGCCGATTCAAAATTCCCATTGACAGAAGAAAAGGAATGTGATTCATATTTCATTCTCCTTTTCAAAGAAGAAGAAGAAATGTTACCTTTCGAATCACTCTATATGAAAAAAAGGGTTATCACTCATTTTAACAAGAAGACGGTAAATGCTTGAAGAAAAAAGTTTGAGTTGGAATAAGGTACCTTGAAGTGTGAGTTCAAAAGTAGTGAAATGAATGAGAAAGCTGAAGGTTGAAGCTTGGAAGCTTTGAATATGTGATGATGATTACTTTAAGAAAAATGCTTTCAAAGAAAAGGAAAAGACTCAGGAAATAAGGGAAAGTCAATCTAAAAGGTTGTGAAATTTTACCCAAAATTCTTCTACCCTTATGTAGGAAAATGCAATCAAACGGATCACATTGAAAGTAAGAAATGAATGCAGATCAATGATCAGATGCTACCTGTAACACCCCAAATTCTTGGAATATTTATTTAATTTATTTAAATATGAATATTCACATTTTTGGTGAATTTTGGTGGTTGGTGTGAATATTGGGAATTATGGATTTTGAATTATTTATTTAAATAATAGTATATAATATGAATATATTGGTATTATTATTAATTTAAATGAATATAAGTGAATTAAGGACAAAATAGACATTTGAGGAGGAGTTAGTGAGGGTGAAGTTGAAAAGCCCAATTTTAAGGCCCAAAGTTAGGTTTAA